TTTTTTTTTTTTTTTTTTTTTGGTTTTGTTTTCTTTTAAAGCTGGTCCTTAAAGCACCTTAGGTCTGGTTTTTTAATTAAGACCTTTAACAAATACATCTGAATTTTCATTGAACTACTTTGTAAAAAAAATAGAGGTTTTATTCTATCAGAGGTTCCAAATTTAACTATGGAGAGCATAAATATTCAAAGTCTACATGATTTATTAATTAACCTCAGTGTCTTTTTAAACTAAATCTGTTAACAAACCTGTTAGCAAACAAGTCTAAAAATGGATTTGACTCAGTACCATCCCCTCTCCTCTTTCTGATTGAACTGCTCAACAGTGAATGGTCAGGAGGAGGAAGAAAACAGGATCGACAATAAAACTGAAATACGATGCGTTTTCATTAGTTCATACAATGAATGAGGAATTTGGCCTTATAATTACCACTTCTGAAGAAAAGAATTTAGGAGTTACCTTTTTGGTATAAAATACTTCTGTGATCCTATTTGGATAGCCACTTCCCTCTTCAGTGTGGCTGTGGCTCCGTAATCCTCGGAACCCCTATAGAAGCTTTGTTGGAGATTTTATTCAACAGAGATAGGGTTTATTATATAGCTTCTGCTGCTAATGAAATTAAAATTTTTATATCTTTTACAAAAATATATAATTTATTTTAGTGTTATACTGGGTTAATAGAATGATAGGATTTGCAAGTTATGTTTTACACAGCACACTATCCTAATTCACTGTTAGAAACACGTTACTGAGATGAGCTAGCATTGGACCCGAAGGACCCTAAGTATGAATAGCATCTAGGTGATGTTGATGGCATTCACCTCCACTGACCCTGCATCAGGACGCCACACAGAGCGCTAGATCAGTGCTTTTATGTATTTTGTACTTTGATACAATTGTCAGATTATCAAACATATTGCATCACTTTTTCAACACATTTCTTGAGTTCCTGTACGCCACGGGTTGCTGTCAAGGATGCAGTGAAATAGATGTTACTGCCATAGGGAACTAATTACTGGCCAAGGGATGTAATGAATTGTTCAGAATCCCCAAGCTAGTAAGTGTTGAAACTAGAATATGATGCAGGTCTTAAGGAAGGCACATATAAATTGTATTTACTTATGGAGTCTAGTTTCTGTCCATTAAAATAAAAAAAGTGAAATTATAGAACTTCCATCTTGCCGAGTCGCTCACAGGGGTGGTTCTCAGACTCTGGGTGGGGAATCTGAAAGTGAATATAGGTGCCTGTAGAGCTTTTTAAAACACAGCTTCTGAGTATCACCCCAATCCACAGAATTAAAATCTCTGCACATAGGACCTGGTGTGTGTATTTTGAAAAACTTTCAAGATGATTCTGGTGTGTACCCTCGAATTTAAGAATCACCCTATGAGAGCCAACACTACAAATCTGAAGTTCTATTTTGAGGAATTTTTGGCTTAATTTGGGTTTCCATTGGCTCATGCTTTGTGCAATATTTTAACAGCTCATTATTTGTGGACTTGGAAAGATAGATGTTAACGACTGGAAGGTCAACACCCGGTTGAAACACTGCACACCGGACAGCAATGTGGTCAAGTGGTTCTGGAAAGCCGTGGAGTTTTTTGATGAAGAGCAGCGAGCACGGTTGCTTCAGTTTGTGACGGGATCGTCTCGAGTGCCTCTGCAGGGCTTCAAAGCTTTACAAGGTAGTCGGCCAGAGGGCCCAGCCTGGCCCCACACGATTGGGGGAGGGGTCTGTATTTGGGTTATCTAGCTGGTTTACAACCAGGTGCTTATCAACAGATTCTCTTTTCACCCTGTTTCTGATCTGTAACTCTCACATCTTGATCCCTTCTTCTCCTTCTTTCTCTTTGTTCCCCTCCCAAGAGCTTTTTCTGCTGGGGTTCTCTGTGATTGTAGTGAGTGCCGCACGCTCGACTGTGTGTGGTGATGCTCTGCCTTTCCATGCCCCTTGCTTTCGATTCTGCTGCACATTCCTGTGGGGGAAGTCTGTCCACTGCCATCTCCACATCTCAGCCTGGCAGAACGTTCACCTCCACCCCTCCCCCGGGTGCCTCTCCCCTCTCCTTTTTCATCCTTTAACAGAAAGAGGCAGCATGAGTTGTGGAAGCCATTTGTTGGGTCAGCGCATGTGCATTGCATGGCATCAGCCTGTTTATTTACAACCATATTCAGTGTTAAAGCATAGTTTTCTGTGGAATAGCTGCTTGCTTTTTGGATGAGTTGGTAATATTGCTAATGACCGGACGATGCACTTCACTGGATGGCAGTGCTTTATCTTTGAAGCTCTTCATTTTCCAAGTTGCTGCTGCTGGGGATGACTGAGGATATACAAAGCCAGACAGTACATGCTCCTACAGTGTTGCCCACAGCGCAGTGTCAGAAGTCCCTGGGGAAAGCATACTTGGAGTTGTGTGACAGTCCCTACTTGGAGAACTCATCCTTATCAGACTGCCCATAAAGTGAAGTTGTATTTCTACATATATTTGTATGGGCTGTCTTATGTTAACAAATTTATTCTGTAGACTGCTGATCTTTTACTCTCAGCCAAGTTTGAGCCATTAAAACCTAAATTTGCATTTAGGCCATCATCTTTCTGAATGGTGTATATTTAATCTTGGATTTGCCCATTTACTTTTCTTCTCATGCTTTTGGGACATTGATATCCTATATAAGAAAGAAGTTGGCAGAGGATTTCAATCCTGAACTTTTTCTCAAATTTGAAATGCTAGGATATTAAGGAATCCAGCCTTATCCAAGGTCAATTCCAGCTTTCAAACCCAGATTCTTTTCCTGGGAAAAGAATTTTTTTGGCAGCTTGTGTGGAGTCACCAGTTTTCCTCTATCCCTAGACCCTGTCTGTGGTTTATGTACCAGTTTCATCCTGATGTTTTAGAGATGAATACAGGCACCTGCAGTGATCTGACCCATGTTTACTCCTTTGGCAGGTGCTGCAGGCCCACGACTCTTTACCATCCACCAAATCGATGCCTGCACTAACAACCTGCCCAAAGCCCACACGTGGTGAGTTATTTTGTAGCTTTCCCCTCTTATTCCATGTGTGTTGTAGGTATTAGTTTTAGACAGGTGGCTTTTCATTTATTGTTCATACTATTAAATGGACCTTTAAAAGGAATGATAAGCAACTCTGAGTGATTGAAGATTATTCTGACATTGGTAGGAACACCCACAAGTGGTAATCTCTGCTGTAGAAAAATATAACCTTATTCCTTTACTTCTCTGTGTGACACAAAGAGCGATGTGGCTATTGGAGGCTGGTTTGCTTATCTTGAAGGAACTGTGTTAAATCTGATGTGCTTATTTACAGCTTCAATCGAATCGACATTCCGCCCTATGAGAGCTATGAAAAGTTATATGAGAAGCTGCTAACAGCCATCGAAGAAACGTGTGGATTTGCTGTGGAATGACAGACTTCAAGGTTCTACCCAGGACTATTTATGCTCGACAGCCTCCTCTCAGCAGTGTCAAGGAATGCTGAAATACAGGAACATGCCCCCCTCCCTTTTTTAAATTTTAGGACACTGTGAGGGGAAAGGACAATTTTGAAATTCCTTTTCAAGGAAAAAAACAGGTCTTTATGCATTGCCATGAGGCCGCATTCAGCTGCTATTTAAAATTAATATCTTGAACCTAAAGAATGCTGACTTTTCCTACATTTCCAGAGTTAGGCAGTATTCTACACTTAAAGACTACTACTATTTTTATAAAAGGTAACCTATTCACATCGCTTCACAGATTTCAAGTCTCAGACATCAAGACAACTTCAGGCGGTACAAGTCACATTTCATTTTGATTGAATACATGATTTTGAACAGCTCCTGTACTTGCTCTTTGTAAAAAAATGAAATAAAATTATTTTGAATTATTCTACCTTTGTAAGCAATTGGCTAAAAGAATCATTGTCTTTAAACAAGTAAGCCATTTACACGTTTAATTACATTTTTCTATAGCAAAGCATTATATTTTAAAAGCATTATATGTTTCAACCTAGCCTAAGTGAGTCTTTTTTATGTTTTTTCAAGTACAAATTACCTGGAATACAGCTATATAATTTTGGTTGTCAAATTCCTAATGCAACCATTTAGTCTAAACTTAGTAGCTTATTTGCTACATAAGATGCTTTCAGGGGCTCCCTATTTTTAAGAGACTTTAAAAACAAATCCTAATTTTCTATCTTGAATCAATATGACCAGGTGTTTTGGATTTTACTTTTCACCTTAAATGGAAATCCTGCATTTTTATAGCTTCTCAGATCATGTGGATGGGATAGGATTTTAACTCTTTTGCTGGGTCAACTTAACTTTAATAGATATACTATTTCTTGTAAACCAAAGTCTCCTCTGAACAGTTCACCTAGTTTATATTATATTTTAATTACGGTGTAAGTTTTTATCAAGCAAATCATCCTAAATCTTATTCAGCTGCTCATGATATTTTAATCAGCTAAAGTTATGAAAAGAAAAAAATTTGCTCTAAAGATTATTTAGCAAACTTAAAACACCCTGCTTTTATTTAACAAAATGAAGTGGGGCTGGTGCGGCTGGTGGGGTAGGGGATGTGATTACTAAAGAAACAGTGATTCTAACTCTATAGTATAAATTACTTTAAACCGAAGAGTGAATTTTGGAAGTAAGGGAATCCCAGTTCCCTTGGTGTTGGAAGATCAGCATCTGATTTTGAAATATCCAGATTTAGCTTTCAGGGTGAGGCATGTCGCATGATCCAGAAGGCAACCAATATTCTGGAGTGAGGGACTGGAAAAATCTGAAATCATGGGCAGATTTTTTAAAACTCAGCCATTAGAAATCTGAACTATTCTTTTTTAAATATATTGATGTGAAACCAACAATAGCAAATTTTTATGATATAGCTTTGTTTAAATTTTGTGGCTTACCAAATGAATAATAGGCCCGTGTGTTCTTTCATGGTATGGATTGGTTTTCAGTCTGTTCGTAGAGCGAAGGGGCTCCTTAGAGGTGCCTCAGAATAGTGGTTTGCGAGAGGAGGGACAGAGCGAGGGAGAGGAAAGGACTAGTTGGTATTCAGCAGGGGCTTCTAACTCCCCACCCCCTTTACTCAGAGCAGCTCCAGATTTTCTCTCTCATATATTGGAATTCCAAGTAAGCTTTCACAGGGGTAAGGGGAGGATAAAAGAAATAGAAACCTGCTTTTTTTAAAAAGTTGAAAACTACTTGTGTAGTTTCTAAAAATTTAAATTCATTGTATTCAGCCAAATTTGCTACATGCAAACCTAGTCATAATCTTAACTGTGCTTTTGCTGACCTTTTTCTCCCCACTTTGTGCTTTCCCGCTGCATTCTTAGTACGGAAGAACGTCTTGAAAGGTACAGAAAAGGCTTGTATATTATTTGATATTCAGTCGCAGGTCCATCTCTCTCATATTACAGCACTAGTGCAGTGTCATTGTGCCTATTCTTAGAATCTTTTGGTAAAAATTAAGTACATGAACACTTTAGAGAAATCATAGCTGATGGAGGCAGTGCTAATGAAATGCTACTGTCATAATGTACAATATCAAGCAGGCAAATACCATCGCTTTCTGAGTGCCTTTTAAAATTTTATAAAAATGACTTAATAGAGCTTTAAATAAATAAATTACCCTAATAGTCTGTGGTATCACCAATGTAATTTATAAAAACATGATTTAGATTTCATTTTCAAAAGTATGTTACCTAATTATTTCCAAATAGGTGCTAAGCAAACAAAACCCTCCAATGTGTCCTTAAACCTTAGACTTGCACCTCATGTTTAATGTGAATATTTATTTCCACATGTCCCTCTTAACTGGGTTTTTTCCTAATCCTCTAGTGTTATTTCAGATATGTGCTGTTGTGTATCCGTGCATTGCCTTTCCATCATGAATTCTTAATTATGAACAGTGGTTACTTTGTAGAGCTCATATGCAGTACAGAGGTGAGTTTTATTTCAGAGGGTCTTATTTCTTGGTGTAAAGAGTTTTTAAATAGTGCTGTGTATAATGTACATCTTGTTTTGCACATAGTTTGTTGCCCTGAATGAGTTTTATTTTTATCGTCATTTTTTTCTTGTATTTACAGTCCAGAGCACAAGTTTCCTTTCTTTTAAATACAATGTAATTTGCTTTATTTTACAACACTAAGTCCGCTTTGAACTTCTGGTGCATTGAGCTGATTGCATTGATGGGAGTTAGAGGTTGTCCAGCCATCTTTTCATTGACAGAGCAGCCTCTGCTTCTGTTTGTAAGCTGCAGCACCACACGTGGGTGCCGTTTGTGGTGTTTAACCTTCCTCTGTTAGGGTGATGATTGTACCAAATGCTGAGTTGTTTTGTTTCTTGATGTAATTAGTTCACTTAATGTAATATTCTTCCTTCTCTCAAACTGACTTTAAAAAAAAGTTTTATCATTTTCATGGTATTTATTACAGAGTGTTTTAGCTTTGATATTCTTTGTATTTTCACTCAGTTGTTACATGAGCTTTATCAATAACATCTGTATAAATGGTTTTTAAAAATTAACTATGTATGTGCCCATGCCGAAGTTGAGCAATAAAATGAATGCTGTTTGCACTGTCACAGCATCAAAGTTTTTAAAGAAGATTGAGTTTATAATGAGTTGTTTTGAAAAAACTTGATTGGCTTATGAAAGGTGACAGCATGTGAACCATAAAGTGAGAAGTTTAGGAAGTTTCACACACCTTCCTTAGTTGATGCCTTTGTCACTTTGGAGAGCTGGAGCTTCAGAGCGCTCAGGACCTCCTTTCCAGGTAAAGCAGGGAAGGTGCCAATGGCATTTCTGCTGCCGTGGCAAACTGATTAGTCAGTAGTGGCTGTTGGGGGCAGGATCATGTAGATGGATTTCTGAGGCCAATACAGGCTTATTGGGGAAGTGTTCCAGTCCAGCAAATAATGTGCCAGGGCTCTGGAGGGCAGAGCTACAGTAGGGGCTTCACTTCCTACCCTGGTGTTGATCAGTAGAATCCTCAGAATGAAAAGAAGCCATGACTTTAAGGGTAATTATTCACAACTCTACATGGTAGTGGATGAAAGTCCAGCTTAAATATATGGGTGAGAAAAAGAATGGAGATGATGCTTTTTCATCCACAATGTAGTCTGTGTTGTCTCTCCACAATAAAGGTCTGGGAAATACAGTGAAGTAGCAGCAGTATATTAAAGTTCCAAGAGTGGGTGTGCTGTCCATTTTTATCCTTTTGAAGTTTATTTTTTGCTTTGTCTCATATTACCACGTTTACTGTTTATTATCTAAAATTTGTAAAATTCGCCCTAACTGGATTGGCTCAGTGGATAGAGCATTGGCCTGAGGAATGAAGGGTCCCAGGTTCGATTCTGGTCAAAAGCATATGCTCGGGTTGTGGGCTTGATCTCCTTTCCTCTCTGAAAGCAATAAAACACACACACACACACACACACACACACACACACACACACACGTATATATATATAAAATAAAATTTTAGTACATTAAGGAATTTAGTAGTAGTATCTATACTAGAGACCCGGTGCATGAATTCATGCATGGGTGGGGTCCCTTTGCCTGGCTGGCGTTCAGAGCTGATAGAGGCCGTCTTGCCCAGTCCCCATGGGGGCTGGCCGGCTGGGAGGAGGGACCGTGAGAGGTTGGCTGGCTGCGGCAGGTTGGCTGTGGGAGCGCACTGACCACCAGAGGGCAGCTCCTGCGTTGAGTGTCTGCCCCCTGGTGGTCTGTGTGTGTCATAGAGACCCTTCAACTGGTTGACCAGTTGCTATGATGTGCACTGACCACCAGGACCTCCTGGTGGTCAGTGCACTCCCACAGCGGGAGTGCCGCTCAGCTGACTGACGGGAACCAGACGCAGGGCTCACGGCTGGCTGCTGCAGCCCGGAGATAGCAGCGGAGCGGCAGCGAGCCTACCAAACAGCAGCGGCAGCAGGTGCAGCGGAGCCAGGATGAGCAGGAGTGGCAGGCAGGACTGCTGGTTTCAGCCCGATCCCCGCAGGTCACACCGAGGGACCACACCAGTGCACAAATCCGTGCATTAGGCTTCTAGTCAGCTATAAATTACTCAAAAGTTTGATTTGACTAATATGTGATGTTTTTCTGTGTGGTGACCTGAAAGGTTTGTCCTTCCATTATAATGAAGGTTAACCTTGGTACCCACTGCATTTATTTGTCCTAAATACTTATAGTAGGAAATACACAACAGAACAAGAGCCTACTGACAGGATAGTTAATTATACAGAAAAAGGGTTACATTCCTACATTAATATTCTTAGCTAAATAGACAAAGCAGATTTTAAAGTTACATTGTATTAAAAGGTATTTGCCCTAAATGTGACTTGTTCTTCGTTCATTCAGCAGATAACTACTATGCTACTACTATGTGTCAAGCTCTGTACTAGCTTAGGATGGTTGTTAGAAGCTGAAGTTCAAACTTAGGTACTCACAACTCAGTTTGTGTACAGCAAAGAAGTCCGACATGATGGGAGCACAGGATTAAATACCTTTCTTCAGCAAGGCCTTGAGTCCCAGGCTTGGTATTAAAACAATTGGTTTTGTTCTCCTACCTCCTGCCCTCATGATACTTCAGATCCTAGAGACACTAGTCTCCAGGACAGGTAGCTCCTTCCTTGTGTTCATGTTCATCATACAGTTGGCTGCATTTCCAAGGTCATGTGCTCAACTCTTGAATAGCATACCTCTTATGAATGTTTGGGTTGGGGTTTATCTATGTTACCAATTAGTCTCTAATATGAGCTGTAAACCCTACTTCTGTCTCCCTTAGGGTGAGTGTTTTATAAGTAAAAGAAGTGGAGAGAGGCAAATGGAGCAGCCTGTGGGGTAGGCAAAGGACCCTTCCAAGATGTTTTTTCTGCCTAAAGTGTTCATGAAGTTGTCTCACTTTCAGCCCCGGAACTGGGAGTGAAGATGGAGAGCACATCAGATTCAACCTTTCAGACCACTCACTCCCTCAAAGACAATGCTGGCATGGCCAAGTGGTGGAGAACCATCGAGACCAAAAAGGTATTCTTTTAATTGAAGTGTAATTGACATATAACATTATATTAGTGTCAGGTGTACCACATAATGTTTCATATATATTCTGAAGTGATCATCACAATAAGTCTAGTTAACACCCATCACCATACATAGTTGCAAATTTTTTTTGGGTGTGAAGGGAACTTTTATGCCATACAGTATTGTTAACAATGGTCTCCATTCTGTACATCACATCTCATAACTGGAAGTTTGGACCTTTTGATCTCTTTCACTAACCTCCCCAGCCCCTTATGGCAACCATCAATCTGTTATTTGTATCTATGAGCTCAGTTTTTTTGTTTTCTACATATATGTGAGATCATATGGTATTTGTCTTTCTCTGACTTACTTCATTTAGCATAATGCCCTCAAGGTCCACCTTGTTATCATAAATGGCAAAATTTCCTTTTTTCAAGGCTGCATAATATTCCATTGTATACATATACACCAGTTCTTCATTCATCTGCTGATGGACACTTGTTCCCATCTTGACTATTGTAAATAATGCTGCAGGGAACATGGGTGGGGTGTGTAGATATCTTTTCCAGTTAGTGTTTGTTTTCTTTAGATAAATACCCAGAGTGGAATTGCTAGGTAGGTCTATTTTGAATATTTTGAGGAATTTAATGTTTCCCATCCATTTACATTCCCACTAGTAGTGCACAGGGCTCCTTTTTCTCAATGCCCTCAACATTTATTTCTTATCTTTTTGGTAGCAGCCATTCTAATAATTGTGAGGTGATATCTCCTTGTGGCTTTGATTTGCATTTCCCAGATGAGTAGTGATGTTGAGCATCTTTTCATATACCTTTGGTCATCTTTATGTCTTCTTTGGAAAAATGTTAAGTTCCTCTGCCCATTTTTTAATAGGATTGATTTTTTGCTATTGAGTTGTATGAGTTCTCTATTATTTTGTATAGTAACCCCTTATCAGATATCTGATTTGCAAAAAAACATTCTCTATTTCATAGGTGCCTTTTCATTTTGTTGGGTTTCCTTTGTTATGCAGAAGCTGTTTAGTTTGATATAGTTCCACTTTTCATTGTGTTTTTGCGTCAAATCCAAAAAATCATTGTCAAGGAGTTTACGACCTATGTTTTTAGTTTTATGTTCAAGTCTTTAACCCACTTTGAGTTAATTTTTGTATATAGTGTAAGCTCTGCTGGTCCACTGTCCTTCTTTCGCATGTTGCTATCCAGTTTGCCCAACATTTAAAGACACTGTCCTTTCCCCATATTCTTGGCTCACTTGTTATAAATTAATCGACCATATATGTGCGGGCTGTTCTGTTCCACTGACCATTGTTCATATGCTCATCACCTATTTTTATTGATTTCAGAGGGGGAGAGATAGAAACATCAATGAGAAGAGAGAATCATTGATTGGCTGCCTCCTGCATGCCCCCTACTGGGGAATCGAGCTCACAACCCCAGTATGTGCCTTTGACTGGAATCAAACCCAGGACCCTATAGTCCGCAGGCCAACGCTCTATCTACTGAGCCAAACCAGCTAGGGCGCCATGCTACTGTCTACATGCCCTAATGGGACTCTCTCTTCTCCCTTCCACTCCTTTCCTTATGTCCTCTGCCATTCCATGGCTTTGATCAGCAAAAGTCCCCGCATCCTCAACTGCTCTGAAGCCTTCCTCCAGTTCTTGGCCTTCTTCGAAGCCCTCTTCTCCATGGAAGACATCACCCCAACTGGGTTCTTTTTTCTCATGTTCCCCCACACTAGGGTTGGTGTACTCTTGCTTGCTTCAAGTCCATTATGCCTCTTTCCTACCTGCCATCACTAATTTGCTTTGAGACACACACCATTTGGCCTTCCACCTTGGCCTCTCCTCATGCTATCCTCTACCAACTGCTAGAAGCCATATGCATAAATTCTCATCTTTTAGCCACCATGTGAAAAAGAATTGAACCTGTCTTTAAGGTTTATTCCTATGTCCCATCTCTGATGACAAGCTCACACTTCTCTTTTTTGAATTGGAGAGTTTTTTGGTCCTCAGGCACTTTTTTTTTTCCTTTCTATTTTTGTTGACCCACAATAGGCTTCAGGAGCTGGCTGCTTAATCAAGGCTTGTTGATTGTTTTAGTACAAATGACTAATGAAGAATGTGTGCTTTTAAGGTTTTAGGTCATAAATTCAAGAGCAATATATTTTAAGAAAACAATTTTTATTTAAAACGTTACTTCATTAAAAGTATTGGAATGAATATGTAGACAAGACATTTAGAAATGATTCTTTTGGTTTAGTTTACTTACTCAATTCTAAGTCTGCCCTGGTCAAGTCTTCCAGACTTGGCCACTTATGGAAGTAGCCTCAGGGGAAGGGACTTTTACTGTACTGAAAGGAAGCCAGGTGAAGCCGAGATTTGAAGCGCTCAGCTTCTAATTCCCGAAAGAAAGCATCTTCGTCGTTCTGCGTGATCATGTACTGCAGTTGTTGAATTTCCTTCTCCATCTTAGATCTCAGCTCCTTCTTCACCTTATATAATGTCTAAAAGAGAATTTATGTCATCCTGCTATTCAGAATAT